TAAAGTCAATGGCGCAGTATTTCGCTGTTAAACAAGTTAGTAATATGCGTCTCTAGGCGGGTGCACAACACGCGTGCACTCTGCTCAGACACTCACGGAGCAGCCACACATATGCAAAAGATAACAAACAAAAATATGATTACAATGTGAAAGGTTATTATTGTGCACATTAAAATATTTATCAGAAACACGTCTTAATGGTCAGTCATTAATCAGAATGATCTAATCGCAGTAATAATGATCATCATCATGCGAGCAGACCTCCACGGGCTGATGATCCTGTAAAATGAACTTGTCTTTCCCAATTGAATTGTGATCATTTTGGCATGTAAACCACAAAATCAAAGATGTGAAAACTTTTGATAAACTTTATTTTGACATAAACACAACAATAACCAGCTTCTGTGAACTAAAAACGTAAACTTATAGCCCTACAAGTACAAATGTATATGTAAAAAAAAAAAAAAGCTTTTAGAACGTAAAACTAAATCTTGTCAGGAGGAGGAGGAGGAGGAGGATGACCCCAGCTCCACAGCCAGACCAGACGGTGCAGCCATGGGACCAGCCCTTCCTGCACCTTCAGGCAGGGGGGTTCAGGATGCTGGAGAGGGAGCTAGGTTCTCTAACCTACCGGGTTAAAATAAATTGAATAATCTACAATTTGTTGACAGCGTTTCTCTCGTGCAGGCGCGCTCTCTCTTTCTCTCTCGCAGTCTCACTCTGTTTCTTTTCTTTTGGCTTTTCTAAGATGACAGATGCTGAATATATACTCCCTATCTGATGCTGTGGCTGTTTGTGGCTGGCTGAGAGGGATGTGAACTTATTAGATTGCAGCTGTGTTAATCAAATCGGGTTGGGTTTCCGTGTGCCAAACGTGCCAAACGGTGCCAATCCCCTTTGATCTGACATCAGATGTGACGGGACAGTCGATACAGAGATACATTTATCCTCTCCTCAGCTGTAAAACGCTCACTCTTTCCAGTTGGTAGGTCCGCCATCTAAATAGCTCTCTGCCGTGCGCTCCAATCGCGCCTCTCTTAAAGGGAATGAGAGGTGACACTCTGATTGGCTTATGGAATCATACGCCCAAAGCACATCCATGACTAATTCACAGAGTAAGTCCAACCCTTTTAGACTCTCCGCCATGGCGCACAGTCTGAAAACGCGCTGTCTAACTAGCAAGTGACTGGGACACGCCCATGCGCTGCACGCCTGGCGCTTTGCGTTTTAGACCATCTAAATAGGGCCCTCTGTATCAGTCTGACCTACTCTCTGTTTCCTTCACTGCAGTAGAAATACTAATGCCACACTGTTAAAATACTCTGTTACAGTATAAAGATGTAATGACCTGTAAACTGACCTGATCGGAACTGTACTTCTGAGAGTTTCAAATGATATTTTAATGTCTGTTGATAGAGGTAATTGTTCTGTGTTAGTATTTCTGGACCTCAGTTCTGCATTCGACACAATGGACCTTCAAATCCTCATTAACAGGCTGCATGACTGCATAGGCATATCAGGCAAGGCATTAGACTGGTTTTCTTCAAACCTCTCTGACACAAGTTTCTCCGTCTCTATATAGGTAACTTTGTATCTGATTCCTCTCCATGTTCCTGTGGTGTTCCTCAGGGCTTGGTTCTTGGGCCTCTGTTATTTTCTCTGAATTTGCTACCATTCAGACAAATAATAAACAAATATAACATTGCATATCATTTATACGCAGATGATATCTAGCTCCGCTTCTCATTAAAACCTAGTGAGCCTCTAGTTAGGGATGTAACAATTACCGATAAAATGATAAACCGCAGTAAAATTCCTGACAGTTAGAATTACCATTTCAAATGTTAATTATCATTAAAACCGTGTTTGATTACCGCACTTTGAAAAACTCATGGTGATACTGCTCATTGCCTGGAAAAGCAGCAGCAGTCCCTCAGAAGCAGGCGCGCATGCGCAGTTTGCAATGTTTGGCCTGTGAAAACATGGCGGAAGGCACCAAAGGCACCTGCACAGACAGTGCTCCAGAGATTTTTCGCCCTCTAAAAGAACAAAGTCCTCGGCTGGTCAAATCGCTAGTGGCTGGTTTTAAAGCACATCACCTGTTTCTACAGACAATCAGCTTGTACTGAAGTCCACTGGTCAAGTCAAAATGACTGCAGATGGCGTGTTCGCTTGCTGCGGCAGGTGCTCCATCCCAGCCAAGCCCTCTGTTTCTGTTCCCACGTTGTGCCAGTGTCGGATGGTGGGTTGCTGCAGCATCTCACTGTATGTGCTTATACCCCTCCCACACACACACACATTCTCATTGACTGTTTAACTGGCACTGGTTATTTATATTACTGTGGTGTATTGATTATGAATACAGTCCATCTGATGCCGGTTTTGTTTCATCACTAGCTACTACAAATGCAGCTGTAGCCAGCATCTCAATATCACTATCCTCATTCATATTTTAAGAAGCTACAAATTATACTCAGCCACAAAATAAGCCTGAAAAGCTGCAAACCAGAGTGGAAGTACAGAGAGTTGTTGCACTGAGATAGTTGCATTGGTGTGAACTGGCAGGTTTTTAGAACATTGCAGAACAGTGCATTGCATGTAGCTACCTATTTCAATTAATCTCATCATGAATCTTTGGTCTGATCTAGGCTTAAAATGTTACAGTTAAATTTCATGAACTGAAAACACTGAAATATCAACAGCTACGGCTATGGCTATACTCCATCAATCTCGAGTTACACCATGGTCATGTTACCTAATCGCCACTGTCGCAATGGTAGCAACTTGTCAACAAATGGCACTCACCTGTCACTCAAAGTGTCCCAGCTCTTAATTATGTGTAACTTTAAGCCTTAATAACATTTAAACAGGTGAGTAATATAAAAATTCAGCTCCTGTACAGTTGTCATAAATATTAAAATTAAGCTATAGAGACCAAAACTGATTTTTTGTTCCAGGCTGTAAACATGTTTATTTCTCCTGTAAAGTTGGACATTTTAACATGGGGGTCTATGGGGATTGACTCGCTACTCGCTATTGGAGCCAGCCTCTAGTGGCATTTCAGTGTTGGCTTCATTTTTCTTTTTTTTCTTGTGTTTATCCTTTTATTTATCCTTCAGGATTTATCCTGGCTTCATAGTAGAGGAATGCTCTACTAGTCGCTAGGCTAATTTATACAATGTAAAATACCATAGGCTCATGCTAATAACGTTAGCATGTTGTATTTGTAATGAAAACCTGTTTAGTACAAGACAGTTTTTTTGTTGGTGAACCTTGTGAGTTGCAATGGAGCCGAATTTTGTATCACCACCTTTGTTAAATGTTACTGTTGTCCCTGGCTTCATATAAGTAGGGGCTAATTTTTACAATGTAAAATGCCATAAGCTTGTGCTAATAACACTAGCATGTTGTATTTGTGGAGAAAATGTGTCCAGCAAAAGACAAGTGTTTTGTCTGTGAATCCTGGGAGTTATAGTGAAGCTGAATTGTGCACTTGTGTTTGAAATTGTCTCTATTATGTTTAATGTGTGCTTTGAATCAACTAAACTTTGCAGCACTTCATAGAAACCCCGCCGCCAACTAGTGTTTTGAAGGTGTAACTGCACAGTGACACAGACACACCACTGCACAAGTACAAACGCTCACAACGGTGTAGGCCACGTGCATAGGCTTTGGCGTAAGCTTCTCATAGAGCTGACGCGCAAGTATAAATCGTGCTTTAGTCGCAATCTGCAACCTCACCACTCGTTGTCACTAAATCCTACAAACTGCCCCTTTAAGACCATCTTAGATTTGATCATTTTTATTTCTTCATTTTGTGAAATACTTTATTTTCTTTCTCTCTGAAACGTTCAGATCAGTTTCATGTCTACAGAGCAGGTTTGGGTTTTTGGTCTCTTAACAAACACAGCGTCATCAAACCTGCACACAGTCACACACATGTTAAACTGTCCCTTTAAGTCACATTAACCAGTCAGCTAGTCATCTTGTCTGTGTCTGACAACACAGTGACATCACAAGTTCACAACACAACAAACAGCAAGGAGCGATTCAACTTTAATAATATAAGCAGATTAAATCATTGTGTTATCTTGTGTTAAACGTGTGAGCGGAGCAGCTGATAATACTTCCCCCTGTGTGCGTGTGTGTGTGTTGATATAAAGGCTGAAGGTCAAGTCCACTTCATTGCACACTAACAAACACTGAGGTCAGAGTCTAGTCGACACCCTCTGCTGTGAACTCTGAACACTGATCCAGGACCTGCTGGCCGAACCAAAGACTTGTAAGTACAACAGAGAAGATTTTTTTTTTTTTTTAAAGATTTTTTTTTCGGGCTTTTTGCCTTTAATGTACAGGACAGAGTGAAACGGAGTGAGAGAGAAAGAGCGGGGGGGCATGCAGAAATGGTTGCAAGCCGGAGTTGAACCTGCAGCCGCTGGAGCAAGGTATCGCCTGTGGGGCGCCAGCACTATCCACTACGCTACCGACGCCCCAACAGAGAAGATTTACATGGGTTTAACAGGTCCACATTGCCATGGCAACAGTACAATCCCAAGACGTGGGCCAGTCTCCATCCAAAACACTGAGTCAGTGAGAAAGTCCCTAAAACATCTGCAGGGATTTAACGGACAGACGAGTTCTTGTTTGAGGGGTGAGCTCAGACTGATGACACATATCTGCTGCTGGACCTCAACCAGGCGGCAGCACATCAACCATTCACACTCTGGTTAAACCCTCAGATCTCAGAGTTTCCAGAGTTACAACATGTTAACTGCATATGAATGCAACGTAACTTTCAAATACAAAGTCCTTACATGTGAAAACCCGCCCAGTGATAAATCTGATTTAGAGACATTCATAGAACATATCTGAACAGTCAGCGGCTCCGTCCCTCTAAACTGACTCTAGACCTGTAATCTGGATCTCCACACTGAAAACACCACATTTCAAAGACAGTGTAAAAACCAGGCAGCAAAGGGGCGATGGAAAGATATTTTTACCTCCTGAAGTTTGCTGAAACATTTCTCTGCGTTGGCCCCGATCTCAGCAGTGCTTGTCTGATCCCTCTGACCTCTGACCTTTACACTCCACACACAAATCTGCACCCAAACACCAAAATATAATATAATTATTGTTGCTGCACCATTGGATGCATGATAATGTAAGGCACGTTTCTGTCTCCTGTCTTACCTATAAATTTACTAGTTAAGAGTGTAGGACAACTGAACATCAACAATGATAGTGGCATCTCACATCTTGTATCACTCCACCAAACTGAATCATAACTCTCATTACCTTCAAACAAGACAACAATTATTCCCAATATCCTCAAATAAGACAACATTTAGTCTCAATGTCCTCAAACAAGACAACATTTAGTCTCAATGTCCTCAAATGAGACAATATTAAAGTGTCTTCAAACAAAAAACGCGTACCTCCAAAGTAGCAGGGTCTTAGCTTGTAGGCCTAAGTGTTGCTAAATTTGGTCACAATTGTTGCCATATCAAACCACAAACATTCATTCATGCATTTTCTGTAACCACTTATCCTGTTAGGGGTCATGGGGGACTAGAGCCTATCCCAGCTGACATTGGGCGAGAGGTGGGGTTTACCCCCCGGACAGTTCACCAGACTATCACATAGAGACAGACAATCATTTACAGTCACGTTCACACCTACGGTCAATTTAGAGTCACCAGTTAACCTTCATGTTTGAACTGTGGGTAGAAACTGGAGTACCCGGAGAAAACCTGGTAGAACATGCGAGTACTCTGGGTTTGAACCACGTACCATCTTGCTGTGAGAGGACAATGCTAACCACTGAACCACCGTGCAGCACTACAGACATTCTTAATCATAAATAAACAAGTTCCAACCATAAAATCAGGTTTTGGACCTTGTCCACTTTTGTGTCCGGGTCAGCTGCAGACTGACTTGGCCGAGCTGGCTTCCATCTCGTTTTTAAGGGCTCATTTGTGCTCAATGTTAGATATGGAGACGGACAGAGCCATCTGTTTGCACTCTGCATTTATATTGTTCTTATTTGTGAAAGCTTATCACCTTGTTTTCACTTATGTATGTGACTGGTGTCCGTAGATCCATAAATATACTAACGATGCCTCTAGTGTCCAATACAAGGAAGTGCATTTCTTTACGGATGGATAGAAACCTGATAGAAACTAGCTGTAGCCGTGTAGGAGAGGCTAATTTTGCCAGGGTTTTTGCCATCCAGTAGTTTTGAGTATGCGCTTGGAACATTACCAGAACAAAAACAGGACCTGCCAGGCACGTAGCATATTTTGTTTAATATTTAATTAAAAAGACGTATGAACAGGTGAAAGAGTCATAATGACGTTCAAACTAGATAAACAAGTTCTTTTTAATTATACAAACTCAACTGACGATCAACACAGGCAACTGAATTGAAGAAAATAGCCTGTTAGCCAGTTAGCAGCCTGTTAGCTAAGCTAGCACACTGTAATACAGTCGAAGTCCACCACAAACGTTCAATTCTTTTTTAACATACTCGAGGCAAATTCTGGACTCAACGGAGAGGTGGAGTTTCGCAGGCACATTGGATATCAGATTCCCATAGGAATGACTGGACTTGCAGTTGCCTCGTCTCCGTATACATACGTAAGTGGAAACAAGTACAGAAAAATTGGAGCAGAACCACCAGAGACTGTGGGGGCAGCGTAGCACAGAAAAACAAGATACGACCATAGGAGACGACAAAGACATTTAAATAATCGCAGAACAGAATGAATCAATAATAATAGTTATAATAGGGGCCGCACAGACCAACACAGTCTACAACACTGCCTCCGTCTAAAAGGGACAATATCACAACCTCCTCCACTGTTGCCTGGTTTGTTGTGTGAAAATTTTGACTCCGCCCTCTAGCACCGTCTTTTGGCTGTATCTATGCCAACATCAAGGAAACACTGAAGTAAAAACCCTTTTAGAGCCGATGTCACAATGATGTTATTTCATTATCTGGAGGTTAACCTGCCTCTCCTCCACAGGGCTGTAGGCTACATGGGAGTCTTAAAATGTGGTCTTGTTGTGTCATTGGGAGCCAGAATAGTGGTGGAGAGTCAGGTTTTGCCTCCAGCTAATAAAATGATGTCATTGTAATGTCGGCCCTAAAAGGGTCTATGAACTGTTTTTCATTGTATTTCAGGAAAATCGCAGACTGAATATAGCACGTTAAGAACTAATCTGTATCTACTGTAAGGAGCACAATCAAGTATTTGGTATCTATGAACTCATAACAAGTTGAATATCAAAGATATGCGCATATGCATTGTATAAAAATATAGCCTATTTTATATAGAAAACATTTAATAAACACTATATAGCATTTTCCCCTTGTTTTTCATAAATCCTGACTTTGAATATTGATTAAAGTGTGATTTTTGATGTGATCTAAAATTTTCAAAGCTGTACTGTTAGTTATACGACCCAAATCTACCCCTACCAGATTTCCAGACTTTAGAGCCATCAGAACAAATGTTGCAGTATTTTCCCTCATCAAACCAAATACAGCTTCTTTTTCAAAAAAGGTCCTTTTTTCCCCTCTACATTTTATTTCAAAATCAGAACCTCCATAACTTTTGGTTTATTTCTATTTTTAAACTTGAAATTTTACTTATTCTTAGTATTGCTATCATGGCAGCTTACACACAGCATGGCGTAAAGTATGTGGACATTGCTCGTCCACTATTTAAAAAAATCCTCATAATGGCTTCTCTCAGTATACACACACGAAGACAAACCAGAGGTCCTTTAAATGAATGTGTTTGTCAGTAAAAGTATTATTTATTTCAACATTTAATTCTGTTTATCCCAGCTGTCAGAAAACCATTACTGGTGCTCATACATACCTCGTATATATACCTGGTCAAAACTACGTGGACACTGCTCGTCCAGTAGCCTACTTTAAATCCTTATAATGGCTTCATTTAGTCTCATTCTACTCGTTCCCTCAGTCATATAAGATGTCTGCATCCCCTACTGTCTGTTGGTTTGTGGAGAAGCTTGAATGTGAGACCGAGTGAGAGGTCTTATTCCCTCCAGCTTGATAAGAAACACTGAAGGAGGTTTAAAGGTGAACTTTTCCATGTTAAAGTGCTACAGTAGATAAAACACAAAGACTCACCAGCAGACGAAGAAGAAGACTCAGAGGCAGAGGAGCAGCCGAACGTCACACTGAGATCTGCAGACTGAATCTCTCTGTCTGTCTGTCTCTGAGGTGTGGCTCCAACCAGGAAATACATCCACAGTTTTTCTCTGAAGGACTTCATTTTTTTCTCTTTTTCCTTCTTCCTCTGTTTCCTGTTGGTTTCCAGTTAAACAGCTCCTCCTGCTGACTTCTCACACTCATTACATCTCCGACATGGAAATCCGTCTCACACAGTTCAGCATGATGTTTAATGACAAATCAATATCTGGAGACGTTTCCAGAAGGAGGTTTATCATCTGTTACACCCAGAAAGCTGAAAAACTCTTCATATATCTGGACTATAAAATATCACACACACACACACACACACACACACACACACACACACACACACACACACACACACACACACACACACAGAGCGCACAAACACTTTTCAGTGGTGATCCAGAATTAAAATATGCAGGAATTCTGTGCATTATTATTTATTTATTTATCTGGAATTGCCACATGCGGCTTTATCATTATTATTATTCAGTTTAATGCAATTTAATTTATTTTTTTACAGTTTTCAGTGGTAATTCAGAATGAAAATATGCAGGAATTCTGTGCATCGTTATTATTATTATTGTTTTTATTTTTTTAACAAAGCCATGAAAGCATGCCCCCAAAATGTTTCTGCAGTTGACCAATAGGGAGTGACAGTGTTTCCAAATAACAACGTGGTCTGGAAGAGATATGTACGTTAATGAATGAACAGCTGTCTGATTGACATAAAACCAGTTGGTAACCTATAATGCAGAGGTCATGAACTGTCAAAGGCCTTAATCCTACCCAGCTTTCAGGTTTCAGAGGTCCATTCTGGCTTGGACCCCGGAATAGCAGCTTGCGGCTTTATTTATTATTATTATTATTTTCAGTGGTAATCCAGAATTAAAATATGCAGGAATTCTGCCAAGTATTTTATTTTATTTTTAATTTTTAAGTGTTTCTTTTATTTTGCTGGTAATGAGTAGACAATATAATCTGCAGAAAATCAGCAGAGGTGTAATTCTGCAGGTGCCAATTCTGTCTGGTCTTGACATGTTAATATTTTTCATGTGTGGAGATACATACCGAACAAACCGGAAACTAATATTACTTTCAAAATAAAGGTATAACTTTTTGTTGGATTAAAAAAACATGGTCTCAGAATTATGTAGTAGCCTAAACTATATTAAAAATATGTTGATGTTGAAAATATATGAAAAGTTTCAGTAAAACTGACACAAAAGCTCAAAAGAGAAACAAAGAAAGGTTCATTTTAGGCCTAATCTTTCTTTCCACATTTTAATGTTTTTTTTTTGTTTTGTTTTTTAATGAAATGTATTCTGACGATTACTTTTATTACTATTATCATTATCATCATCACCATTATTATTGTTATAATTATTGAAAATAATAATGATAATTTTATTTATTTTTCTAATTCTGCCTATAATAATAACAATAATGATAATAATAATAATAATAATAATAATAATAATTATTATTATTATTATTATTATTTATTTTACAGTTTTCAGTGGTAATTCAGAATTAAAATATGCAGGAATTCTGCCTTTTATTATTATTATTAGTAGTAGTAGTAGTAGTATCGTTGTTGTTAATTTTATTTTGTTGATGTTGTTTGTATTTTGTTTGTTTGCTGTTGTTTATATTTTCTGCCTTTTTCTTTTTTAATAACACTTTGAGCTGCTTTTTGAATAAAGTTTTTAATTATTAGTATTATTACCTCCCAGTGTTGAAAAATGATGCCTTGTGTGATATTTTCGAATCAAAATGGTCTTTCAATATCACCCTGCATGTCTTATAACTGTATTTCAATAAATGCTTTAATTTGACTTTTATTTAATATTTGTTTGTATGTTGAACATGTGACACTCTCTCAGGGACTACAGATAAAAGTAATAACTGAAGAATTTACAGTAAAGCTTATGTGCACGGTCTCTAATAGCTAGATAGTGAATAAATAAATAAATAAATAAATAAATAATGTGTCGTTATCAACATCCAAAATTAATGAGTTCAACTTAAGAGAGAAACTTCCCTTATATTTTGAAATGTTTGACCGGAAGCCTTGGTGTATATTCCGGTGAGCTTGACGCAAGCGCAGAGCTGATTTAACCTGCAGCATCAGTGGGGCACTGTCTGAAGCGACTGACACAAAAGAAGCGACACAACGGAGAAGAGGAACCACACAAACCTTTATTTTCTCACCGGAAACAAGAAAAGGTAAGAATTAAGTTTATTTTCATCAGATAATTTTGAGCAGAACATTTCTTTCTGTTAATGCCGGTGATGATTGAACCTACTGCTAAGTAAACGCTTTAAAAATGATGTTCACCCAAACCTAATGTTACAATTTGAATATTTAAGGTTAATTTCTTAGATAAACGTCAGTAATTCATCGTGTAAAATCGGTTTTAATTGGCTGCATCATCGGCTCGCGATGAAGCAGAACACTGGGCCAACGCCTCTAATACAGACTGATCAATGGCACAATGTATCCATCAGTTTAAACATCTAATCAGTAACAGACATAGGCTAACACAAACGTAGAGATAGTGGCGACGAATTTGAATCTAAGATCTCTCCAATTCAATGATAAATCGCTGTGATTTGTCACAGATCAAACGGCCGGTCATCAGCCGGTAAGAATCTGTGTCAACGCCCTAAAATCAATCGGCCTGCCTCGCTGTGAAACCAGCCGAACCTAAAATCCACAGATATGTGAATGAGGTTTGGTTGCAGGTGGATCCATCAGTGTCAGGCTATCGGCGATGAGTCAGTGAAGTGTTTGAGGTTTATTTCAGTCTGCAGAGACGCCATGACCCAGTTTCTGTTATAGACCCACTGGAAGAGTAAAAATAAACATATTTTTCGACATATAAATATATATCTGAGTGACTGGTGGAGGACCACTCCCTGAAGGTAAATGTCCTCAGATTAAAATAGGCTATAAAAACCTGCAGCTGTAATTAAAGGTAAAAATTGTGAAAATATTACAAGAAAGGAAACAAAACATTAAACTTTAAAAACAACAAACAAAAATCTGAATTATAATTTGAAATAAAATAAAATAAAACATGAAAAATTAAATTAATTAAAAGCTGCTGCCAATCACATGGCAGCAACTCAAAGCATTTAGCCATGCTGACATGATCAAGACGACCTGCTGATGTTCAAACTGAGCATCAGAATGGGGAAGAAAGGTGATTTAAGTGACTTTGGTGCCAGACAGGCTGGTCTGAGTATTTTAGAAACACACAACACACAACCATCTCTAGGGTTTATATAGGATGGTCCAAAAAAGAGAAAATATCCAGTGAGCAGCAGTTCTCTGGGTGAAAATGCCTTGTTGATGCCAGAGGTCAGAGGAGAATGGCCAGACTGGTTCAAGATGATAGAAAGGCAACAGTAACTCAAATAACCACTCGTTACAACCAAGGTCTGCAGAAGACCATCTCTGAAACAACACGTCGAACCTTGAAACAGATGGGCTACAGCAGCAGACGACCACACTAGATGCCACTCCTGTCAGCTAACAACAGGAAACTGAGGCTACAATTCACACAGGCTCACCAAAACTGGACAATAGAAGATTGGAAAAATGTTGCCTGGTCTGACGAGTTTCGAATTCTGCTGCGACATTCAGATGGTAGGGTCAGAATTTGGCAAAAACAACATGAAAGCCTGGATCCATCCTACCTTGTCTCAATGGTTCAGGCTGGTGGTGGTGGTGTAATGGTGTGGGGGATATTTTCTTGGCACACTTTGGGCCCCTTAGTACCAACTGAGCATCATTTAAACACCACAGCCTACCTGGGTATTGTTGCTGACTGTGTCCATCCCTTTATGACCACAGTGTACCCATCTTCTGATGGCTATATATAATATATATGATATATCATATATCATATAATATTATATGTTATATAGTTCTGATGGGTTGGGGGAGAGTTACTGCCTCAAGCTAGGGAGTTCAAGTATCTCTGGGTCTTGTTAACAAGTTAGAATGAGGGTAGAATGGAGCGTGAGATGGATCAGAAGGTCGGTGCGGCTTCTGCAGTGATGCGGGCGCTACGCCGGTCCGTCGTGGTGAGGAGGGAGCTGAGCCGCAAGGCGAAGCTTTCGATTAACTGGCCCATCTACGTCCCAACCCTCACCTATGGTAGTGACCGAAAGAACGAGATCACGGATACAAACTGCTGAAATGAGTTTCCTCCGTTGGGTGGCTGGGCTTAGCCTTAGAGATAGGGTGAGGAGCTCGGACATCCGGAGGGAGCTCAGAGTAGAGCCTCTACGTCGAAAGGGGTCAGTTGAGGTGGTTCGGTCATCTGATCAGGATGCCTCCTGGGCGCCTCCCGCTGGAGGTGTCCCGGGCACGTCTCACTGGTAGGAGGCCCCGGGGCAGACCCAGAACACACTGGAGGGATTACATATCTCGTCTGGCCTGGGCTCCCCCAGGAGGAGCTGGAAAGCAACGCTGGGGAGAGGGACGTCTGGGGTGCTTTGCTTGGCCTGCTGCCCCCGCGACCCGGCCCCGGATAAGCAGATGAAAATGGATGGATGGAATATATGTAAATATATATATATATATAAAATTTAAAAATTCAGATTTTTGATAGAAATTATCTAAAATCAGTTTAAAAATGAATTAAAATAAAATGAACTCCTTTTAACTATGAGCTACTGAGAGGCTTTCTATTATCGGTGCTATAAAAAGGATGAGTGGAAGAGCTCTGTTGTGATTTAATCGGGGAGAGACCGATCTGTGAGCCGTTCATTGATCTCTAATCACAGATATCTTATCAATATTCAGTTCTGACTCTTTATCTAGTCCCTTTTTGTGTCGTTTTTGTTCAGTTTTAGCTGTAATGTTAAATTCAGCACTTTTAATTGAAATATAATTTTACATTGACTTTCATGAAATGCATGTCAGTTAAACTGTGCACTTCTTGTCAGAGCATATATACTATTTTTAATTTATTTTGTAGGTTTAAACTTGAATTACTGTGAATCTGAAGGCCGTTCAATAAAAGAAGAGTCATGTCTTTGTTTTGGAGTATAAAAATTTAATTTAAGATTGAGTTAAATTTTTTTCGGTGTTGTGGTGAAACTGTGATAAACAAAGTAATGTTTATTATTTCAGTGCAGTTCTGTGTGTCGTCTGTAAACAGCCTGTTGAAGTTGCAAACACTAAAAATAAAACCAAAACAAGGTTTAAAATAAACCGATGCTGCATTCAGTCAGTGGAAATTTACTGACCTCACACAGACAGACAGAGACGGACAGCTTTTAAATCACTTACGGCGTTGTACATTGCTGCAAACTGTGGATACGTTAAATTTGTACATTATTATGTAGCAGACTTTACGTTTCAACTACCAGGGGTGTTTCTAGGATTTGAGGACATTGGGGGCCCAGCCTAGACCATTGCTGCTTTTATGCACTCTGGCTGATTACGAATTGTGATGTTAAAAATATTAGTAGTTGTTTGCAGTCAGTATTAAATAGAAACAGAATACTTTGCAACTGCTGTCATTAAAATGTAGATACATTTGAGGTACTTGTTCTGGAGAATTTCCATTTTATGCTGCTTTATAGACTTTGTATACTAATCTACATCTCAGAGGGAAACGTACTTTTTACTCCACTGCTTTTGTTTTTTCATACGTTTTTCCAAAGACTCTGATCAATAATACAAAATATAATCAACTAGTAAATGATAATGTATAATTATAGATTTAAACTACCCAACAGTATATCCTCCTGAGACCCTGTGTCCTAATATGAGGATGTCACATTTTGGATTTACTTGACCTTATACTTCATTCTTCTTAACTTAGGCCTGTTGTCCTCGTTCATAGACATTTTTTGTGCCATGTAGTGTATTTTACAATACACTAATCAATGCAAAAAAACAAGATGGCAGCAATCTCTGCCAAGTCAGTCTGCAGCCAATCCTGACACAAAAGTGGACAAGGTCCATAATCTGATCACAACCACTGCTCTACTACATCCTGTATGAAAAGCAAAACATGATCCTCTGTCTAGGTATACTGTGATATAAAACAGTGGTTCCCAACTGGTGGGTCACAGGTCCATTTTGAATGGACTGTTAGTGACCTGTAAACATGTAAAAGTCAAGTTTGTAAAAAAAAAAAAAAACACTTAATTTTTTAAGTACAGTGAATTTCTGGCACAGAGCTTTTATACTGAAATGTTGTTTCCTGCTGTTGAGTGAGTGACTAACAGACAGCTACTTGACAGAGACAGCAAACTTACCCGACAATGCATGGCGATATTGCATCGATACATCAACGCCAAGTATCGACCTTTTATTATCTTTAATTTTTGCAAATACACTTAATCAAAATTTTGGTACTAGAATAATAAAATCAGTTGCTTTTTTGGTTCACTAGATGGTGCTGATGTTTTTTTTTCCTGCCGAAGTCAGCAGAGGTCTCGATCAGTGGCATTTGGCAGGAACAGCGTTGCCAGGTGTACGATAATTATTGTATTTGTACGATAATTTGGCCCTCTGTACGATGTACGATCAATGATCCCAAAAAAGGCCAAATGTACGATAATTTGACCGTTTCATGAATGTGTGGTTGTAATCAGTATGCCGGAGTTTTTTTTGTGAGCCCTCAAGGCATCTGTTCCCATGTGACATGTTTCCAGCCAATCGCACTTTGCTTAGCATGAGATACGGGTGACGTTTGTCTCTGAACAATGAACACGATTGGCTGAATGGTCAGCTGTACCCACCCCACGAGGCGCTAGGACCCATCAGGAAGTCAAGCAAGAATGAGATTCAAAACAGAAGAAGAAGAAGAAAAAGAGGAAAAACAGAAGCAAGGAAAATGGAAAAAAAGTAAACACTAGAGTGACTATATTTAAGCAATATCACACTAGAGGGAGTGATGTTGTAATGTATATCATCACGGCTGTGATTCGGTCTGTGCCTATGACCTATGATTGCGAAGACATGATTGATTGCGAAGACAATTACAGCCGTGACGATATTCAGTACAACGTCACGACCTCAAGTGTGATATTGCTTTTATACAACAATTCAACAACAGCTTAAACAGCAATGCTGAGTAAGGAAATGTTAACAAAAGGTGATGAAAAAAATTATTTAAGTATGTTATGTAGCTCCGCGAAAACAAACATTTCCCCCAGTCCGTTGCCAGGCAACGCAGCACACACGCCAGGAACTCACAAGCTACTTTGTATTTACATTGATCTGCAGCTGTGTAACTTCGTCCAGTTCGGCTGATGAAACGTTGGCAAACCTGGATGTTGGCACGGCCGGATTCAGCTTCCACTCTCCCTCATCCTCATCAGTACCTCATCAGATGATCATTGATAATTCCTGACCGTGTTCACTTCATTTTTGCTCCTCTCCAGTTTGTCGAGGTCGTCTGATGTTACACAAACACACCTGGAGGTCTGCACAGAAGACTCCTGGCTTTCCTTTTCCTCGTCCTCTCCTGACGACCACTCATAATTTGATTCAAATGTAATTTTGGGGAAAATATCCATATTCTTGGTGTAACGCTATAGTGTCAGTTTGCATCAATGTAGCGAGTGTGACAGTTGGTTAATTAATGGTTGTATTTATATTTATAACATCTGTGAGCGGAGTGATTTTACTGTTACATGTCCTAGTGATGTTGTACTCTGTATCAGCACTCACGGAATGCCTCTCGTCCAATCAAATTACTCGGTCGAAACTAACTGTTGTATAATTGCCTATAGCGCATCAGTAGGATTGTTATTTTGGTTATGACGGATGTACAATAATTTCCCTCAAAATACGATAATTTTGAGTCTCTGGTAATATAATCCTACATTTCCCACCTGGCATCGCTGGGCAGGAAGTTCATCAAAACAAAGATGGAGGCATCAGAGAAAGAAATCAGAAATGGACTGTCAGCATTTAAATCCAATATCTGGACTTATTTTGGATGTTTTAACACAGAAGGAAAGGAAGATTTAGATATGACACGTGTGATTTGCAAGCAGTGTCATATGAGTATAAAATACTCTGGGAATACTACGAACATGATGGCTCACCTCACACGCCACCATCCAGCGTTAGCGTTAGCTACTGGCGGCCACCTAAACCCCCAATTTCCACATACTCCATCATCTTAGGAGGTAAAATTGATGTTGACAAAGTTTTCCTTTGGGAAAATAATTTGCAGTTGGAAAAAAGGCGATAAATGGCAATATATTGCAATATTTTGTATCGCAGTACTCAGCATATCACAATAAGATTATCTCGTGACTCCTCTGTTGATTCCCACCCCTAGCTGGGAACCACTGATATAAAAGTTGACAGTTATCATACCGTGTACATTTGTTTATCTACAATATTGAAAAAAAATGCACCAAATTCTGTAATAATGTGATACCATGAAATTGTAATATTTTCTGAGACAATTCTCACACTGTGAAAATCTCATACAGTTGCAACCCTACTCTACTTGAGTCTTTCTCTTCTACTCCACTATGTTTATCTGACTACTGTCATAGTGTGGTATTTGTACTTGTACTGCAGTAAAGAATCTTAATACAAACCACTTCCTTATTTATTCAGCTCTTCATCTGATCTCTGTTGTTACTGATTTGGGTTTTCTTTGCTTTCATCGCATGACCCTAATTTCATTGTGTTTATAGCAGCAGCACTTAGAAAGTCTTCTCGTTTCTTTTTGTGTTTTTATGTTCATTTTATATTCATGCCGTCTCCTCCCACGGGACAGAAAACAATTAATCGAAAGTGCTATATCGTAGGCAACTGGACTTGCTTGCATTTCTTGAAGACGTTTCGCCTCTCATCCAAGAAGCTTCTTCAGTTCTAACTGACTGGTACTGAGTTGCAGGTTTTAAACCCTGTGTGGGTGGGAACCCTTGCAGAGTCGTTGGGGTCACATGTGAGCTCTTAGTTTCAGAGTCGTTAAGGTCACAATGTGAGTCGATGACCCATCTGGCCACCATGTATGCAGTTCAGTGCAGCCAGGAATGCACAGATTTATACATTGGGGAAACAAAACAACCCCTTCACAAGCGCATGGCACAGCACAGGAGAGCCAGCTCCTCAGGTCAAGACTCAGCTGTCCACCTACATTTACAGCAGAAGGGACACTCCTTTGAGGACAGCAATGTGCACATCTTGGCCAGGGAAGAAAGATGGTTTGAAAGAGAAGTAAAAGAAGCCATCTACGTCAAGCTGGAACGATTATTGTTAAACAGAGGGGGTGGCCTACAACACAACTTATCACCCACCTACAATGCAGTCTTGGGGTCCCTCCCCAGACGACCTCACACCCATTCACCCCTGGTCCCACCTGACCCTAACGACTCACATAGTGGCCAGATGGGTCAAAGACTCACATTGTGACCTTAAGCACTCTCAAACTAAGAGCTCACATGTGACTCCTATGACTCTGCAAGTTTTCACACCCACACAGGGTTTAAAGCCTGCAACTCCGTACCAGTCATTCAGAACTGAAGAAGCTTCTTGGATGAGAGACGAAACATCTTCAAGAAACGCAAGCAAGTCCTACAATATAGCACTTATGATTACCGTGACCTGGATGACTGAGAATCTTCACTGACAAAACAATGAATGTTTCAGGTGATGTTCATGTCTCTTTATTCTCAGATTGAAACATGATTGAGAAGTCAAACAGCCAATACGACTCCTTCCTCTTCTGGAGGCAGCCAATCCCGGCGCTTGACCTGTCGGAGCTGGAGGACCTGGGTTTGACCGACTGCCAGCCAGCCAATAGCGTCAAAGGAAAAGACAAGTCGTCCTCACTGAGGAGTCAGAATGAGGAGGTGAGGCTGATTTTCTCTGTTCAATTTCATTATTATTTTTATTTAAACATATTATGTTTTCTTCTTTAGCTAAGTTTAATGTTTTGGTGTTTTACATTTGTAAGATCTTTTCTTTGCTCTTGAAGATTCTATGTATGTCCACTTGGGGGTTAAAGAGTAACTTGTACTTTTTAACCTGCACCCTATTTGACATGTTTTTGTGTCAGACACAGAAATCTGAGCCTATTGCTCATGACAACCTGTTTGTTTGTCTGTCTGTCTGCAGGAGGAGATGACTGAGTTTTCGTCCTTCAATTATTGGAGAGCTCCAATTGCTGATGTGGATGCTCTGCTGGCCGACCTCAACCTGCTGCTCTGAAACACAACGCTCTGTCACCTGACCTCTGACACCAGATCAGCATCACATTACCTGACCTCTGACCCTAGATCAGCCTGACATCACCTGACCTCTGACCCCAGATCAGCCTCACATCACCTGACCTCTGATCAGCCCATCATCACCTGACCTCTGACCCCAGATCAGCCTCACATCACCTGACCTCTGGTTAGCCCATCATCACCTGACCTCTGACCCCAGATCAGCCTCACATTACCTGACCCCAGATCAGCCCGACCTCACCTGACCTCTGACCCCCGATCAGCCCATCATCATCACCTGACCTCTGACCCCATATCAGCCCGATATCACCTGACCTCTGAAAAAAAGTTTCAGGAAGTCACCAAAATAAGAGCGCGTTTTTCACAGTAAAACAAAGCAGACAGAGGTCTGCAGAGACTGATCCTGGTTCAGATTGAAGTCCCATGGATTCACTCTCTGGTCCTGAATCATCTAAACATGTTTTTATTTCACATTAAGCAGTAAGCTTAGATGTGTTTGTAGGAGTCTGTATAGCCATGTGAGTCTGTAGCTTCGTCCATCTCTCTTTGGGTGTCCTGTTTTTGCTGAGTCCTAATTAAAACCCGTATCATGAAGCAGATAATCAACAGAAACTTAGTTCACCGAGATTAAAGTTCCACCAAAACTTTGAAGTGAGCAGAAGTCACATTTAGTAAAAAACACAATTAAATGGAATAGGTTTTTGTTTAAGACAATAAAAGTGTGTGTAAATTATTATAAACATTATGGTAAAATGTTTTGTTAAGTTTTCCAGGTTTCAAACAAACTAAGTGTTGTGCTGTTTCGCGTTTTTTATGGTCGTCGTTCAGCAGCTTGGATCATGTTGTTTTTCAGGCCAAGGAGCCTTTAGCTATCAGAAATACAGAGCAGGGAGACCCTTCAACATGTACAGTATAAAACTGAGTCGCATGTTAAACTGGGCAGATGGAGGTTGTCAGGTAGAAGGCCAGATCAGCCTCAGGCTGCAGTCTTCACCTGTATTTCCTTTTCAGGAACGTGACAGATAAGTTGTTACAGAAAGCAAAATATGTTGGATTCATGTAAATGTATGTTTTTAGACATATTTTAATTTTGAAAAGAAAAAAAAAAAACAGAATGCTTAGGACCCCCTTTGGGGTTCCGGAAGCCCCTGTTGAAGACGTATGGTTTAAAGCCCAGTTCAGACCAAAGATTCACAACAAGCCAAAACTGTTTCAGAATGTTGCAGAGAAAAGTTGCAGGGGTGTGAACTGGCAGGTCTGAGCTCGACTCAAGCTGACTGATGGTGTCACCTTCAACCCACGTCACCTGTTTCAACAGCCAACTGTCACGTAGTCAAGTCCACTGGTCAAGTCAAAATGACAGCAGACAGCGTGTTGGCTTTCTGCAGCAGGTGCTCCGTACTCATTGAGCCTCCTGTTTTGGTCCTTGTGGTGTGCCAGTGTCAAAGAGTGGGTTGCTGCTGCATCTCACCCCCCTCACATACACACATTCTCATTGACTGATTCATTGGCGCTGGTTATTTATATTATTGTGGCATATTGATTATGAATACAGTCCATCTGATGCTGGTTTTGTTTCATCACGACTGCAAATACAACTGTAGCCAGTGTCTCACTATCACTATCCTCATTCATATTTTAAGAAGCTACAAATTATAGTCTGCCACAAAATAAGCCTGAAAAGCTGCAAATCAGAACAGAATTACAGAGAGTTGTTGCATAGAGATCATACACCATCTCATCTAGTTGCATCGGTAAGAACCAGCTGGTTTTTACAACGCTGCAGAACAACACATTGCAAGGAGTTGCCTGTTTCAACTCGTGTCATCGCAAATCTTTGGTTTGAACTTGGCTTTAGAGATGGAGAAGCCCTTTCTCTCAGGTGTAATCTGAAACATACAGAGTGACAGTGAATGCAGCATCAGCAGTTACTAACCTTCACACATAAAATAATTGGTTATAGACAGTGATCTTAGTGAATCTGAAATAATGCTCAGTGTCTCCTTGCGTTAAACCAGCTTCATGAAAGCAGAACACCCAGGTCAGACACAAGACAGCAGGCGAACTCACTGATCTCACTGCGATACAGATCCCAGATCAGCCGTCCCTTCATGTCACCTGATCTCAGACTGCGTTCACACTGAAATAAGAAACCAGATTCTGATCAGATTTGAACCAACAACAGTTTGAAAATGAGATTAACCCTTTCTGAGGTGGACGAAATATTAGAAACACTATATTGATTCATTTTTGATCAAATTATTTAAATATTGGTTGATGAAATGGTTTTGTGTCATTTATTTATATATTTAGGAGGTTATGTGTTCAACCCTCTGAGACTTAAATTTTCATGTGTTTCCATTTGTGCCTTTTTATTTCTTTTATCCTGAGCTGCTTTATTAAAGGTCACCATCACTGTTTGGCCTGATTATTAATTTGTTATGTATGTATTTATTTCTCATGTTGATTTACTGAGCGGGCCTCACACTGGATCTACAGTTCATCTTGTCAGAATGTAAAAGCTGCCAACAATAAAAGAAAAATATCCTGTTTTTGGTCAACTTGTTTTTTATGATTAATCACACGCAGAAACTTGAACATGTTTTTAAGAGATGTCTGTCTGAGAAAAGGAAGGTAACAGAAAGGTAGTGATCACTATAAATTCATTGGTAAGTTTACATGGAAAAATAGAAGTAAATGTGGCATGTAAAATAATTTTTTAAGCAATCTCTAATTCGCCCCCCATCCATCCATCCACTTTCATCCGCTTATCCGAAGTCAGGTCGCGGGGGCAGCAGGCCAAGCAAAGCACCCCAGACATCCCTCTCCCCAGTAATGCTTTCCTGCTCCTCCTGTGGGACCCTGAGGCGTTCCCAGGTCAGATGAGATATGTTATCCCTCCAGCGTGTTCTGGGTCTGCCCCAGGGCCTCCTACCAGTGGGACGTGCCAAGAACATCTCTAACGGGAGGCATCCCGCAGGATCCTGTTCAGATGTTGAACCACCTCAAATGACCCCTTGAAATACAGGTACATATGGGGACCAAGGCACATCTCTACTGTTAAATCACACTGGTTCACTGTGCACTTACATTGGCCTGTCTTTTTATTTGTTATTTATTTATTTATTTTATTCACCCTTCGTCTGTCTTCATTACACACTCACCGTATTCTAAGCAGCGGAATACACACACACGCACACACACACACACACACACCAACACACATACACTCATCCCCATCCCCATTTCTAGTTAAGGAAAACAATGGCTGCAGCACGACCATCAACAAATGCACAGGGGAGAAAACACATTTGGGCAACAGCTTTAGGAGCAAATGAGAAATTATCGCAAAGGAAAAAACTGGTGCCAGATCCCAAACCAAAAAAATCACACAAGACAGAAAGAACACTATTTATCCAAGTGACCCAGCAGTAAGCAATACATCCACAAAAGAAAAGAAAGAAAGAAAAGAAAAAAATGTGCAACTTGTTAAACTACCCAAACCCCCTAAAGCTGAAAAACAAGCAACCGCCTCAACAAACTCAAATCCATCTACTTCTGCCGAGACACCAGCCCCTCCCACCACTGAGAAAATCAATAACCTCATAATCAAAAATATATTCAACCAAATCAACCAGCTCACCCTCAACCCCCTCACCAGTGCCACAATGCAGATGCAATCCATGCTGACCACCATGGAACAGATTCTGCTGAATGGACACGACCCACAGACCCCGCTTCCACCACTCTCTGCCAGAATTCAGACATAGTGAATGCAAACATGCACATATACCAAGCATTCAACACAAGTCCCAGGAAAAGAGCAAGACAGAAGTCATCAGAGCACCAAGACATCACACCTGTTGTAACAGAGAATTACAAAACCCAAAACAACCCTTTCTCAACCAACCAATCCATCCTCCAAGAAGTCCAAAAACTCAAGCCACAAGCCTAACTCCAAAAACTGGTTCCCATGAGAAATGGCAACCTCCTCATCTTCCCCAAAGACATCCCCTCCCTGAACTCTGTCCTCTCCCAATGGCCTGAAGGAGCATTTAACAGAGCACAATTCAACTGCAGGCTGGCGCACAAACCCAACACTACACCCCCGTCTAAACCCCCTTCTAAACTTCTGGTCAGCAACAGCATCCACAAACACCACAGAGGGACAGGTCAAATCTGAACTGGAAAAACAAGGCATCAGCATCACCAGAATCCACAGAATCGTCAGCAAAACCACCCAGCAGCCAAACACATTCATCAAGATCTGCCTCACCAACCCAGATCAAGCTGCTGGCCTTCTCCACGAAGGCTTCTACCTGTTCCAGTACAGAGTGGAGAAGGCTCAGCCCCCACCCACCATCAAACAATGCTACAAATGCCAACAGTTCAACCACATTTCCACCAGCTGCACCAACCAAGCCATCTGCCTGAGATGTGACAAGCCAAATATGCCAACTGTGGTGGAGAATACTCTGCTGCTTCCAAGTCCTGTTCTGTCTACCTGTCAAACATAATCCCATCAACCAAAAAGCCACCACCCACCAGACCCTCAGACAGAAAACCCTCCACAACCACCAACCCCCCCAGCCTGCACTTGAATGACCACAACCACCTCACTCATCTCTGTGACAACCTCAAAAAACACACCATAGATGACAGGAAAAAAGAGTAGTATTAAAAAAAGTATTAAAAAGCATCAGGAAGCACACACTTCAGTATATGACCCCCCACTCCCACACACTTCAACAAAGAGCAATATTTCTGTCTATTTTTCTAACACTCTTCATAATGAATCTCACCACCTTCCTACAACTCATCCAAATACTCAGCGACAACAACATCTCTGTGGATTCAATAAATGAAAAAATCCTCACAACCAAATCGCAACTTAAGATCCCCGGCTACAACATCATCAGAAAGGAACTGCAGACAGGACGTGGAGGTGGAGTGGTGATCCTCGTTAAGAAATATATTGAGTACACCGAAATCGACTACAACCTCCCACCAGACGAACTGAAGGGAAACGAGTATGCTGCAGCCAAAATGACAATTCATTCATATCATCCCATCACACTCACTAGCATCTACTGTGCCCCTGGAATAAAACCCTCAGCAGCTCTGTTCATAGCCATTTCCAACACCAGATATTCCCTCACAATGGGTGATCTGAACGTGAAGCATACAGACTTTCATCGCAAAAAACAAATCAAACTGCACAGCACTAAAACAGATTTTAACTGACACAAATCTGTCTATTATCAATATAAATGAACCCACCTACATATCCCCATCAACAGGCAACACAGACATCCTGGACCTGATTATCTGCTCTCCTGACCTGGCTATAAAACTTCATAACTTCACCACCACAAACCATCTCTCCAGTGACCATCTGTTCTCACCACATTCTCTTTTAATCTACAAGCAACCCAGAGAAAGAAATACAACTACAGAACAGCAAATTGGGAAACATACAGAACAAACATAAAAGAAAAACTAAAGGACACCCCTCTCATTACCACCACCGAAGGTCTGGACCACCGAGCAACAAGTCAACTTCTCATCCAAGCCAGAGAGGAAACAATACCCCAAACATCTGCCAAAGAAGTGACACAGACACAACCCCCTCACCTCCTCCAGCTCATACAACAAAAAAGGAAACTGCACAGAGAATTCATCAGGTTCAGATCACCCCACACCAAAACAGAAATCAACAGACCCCCAAAGCAACCCACATTTTGACCAGACATGGAAAACCACAGTCGACAAAGAAATTGCACAGCATGACAGAAAACACACATCCACAGCCAACCACAATACAGAGCACCATTAGACTCACAAGTCAGTCTTTAGACGCTTTGCTTGATGACTTTCTCCCTGATTTTGTGTTTAGATGGGCGGATGCAATTTCAGAGTTTAAAAAAACTCCCTACGTTGCAGAACCAATAGTAAATCTGCAGGGCGGTCCTTCGATGGCTCGCTGAACTCTTGTGCTTGTAAACATAGTCCCACTAGAAACACGTGTAGCGGTACAAAATGGCTCAGCCGTGCTCGCAGAAAACGCAGTCAAAGTTAGTGGATGTTTGTCGCATTTGCAGCGACACATTCTTGCCAACTAAAAGAAACAAACATAATCTTTTACAAGGCC